TTTCCACTGGCACCCGGCCCGCGCCAAACCGCACTCACGATTGCCGGGCGCCCATTGCCAATCCGGAAAGGCAGGCACGCGACCAACCTCGGAAATGAGGGCGGCAGCATTGCTTGGACCCACCGATTGACCGGCGCCAGCAGTTGATTGGGCAGGCTGAGCGCTGGCCGCCTCAGCGCTCCCAGTGCTTGCCTCAATGTTAACAGGTCCAGCTTCTACAGCAGCGCTCATCCGCCAATTGGCAATCCTACTTGACGCTGTGGGCTCGCGCTCATGTGTGGCAGACTCCGAGGGAGTAGCGGTACCGCTCTGGCCAAGGCCAGCCTCCAGTCGTGCTCTCTCGTACTGTGAAGGATCTGAGAGAGAAGTGAGGTCAGCGTCAGTCAGCCAAGCGCTCAGCAGACGCGATTTGTTGGCTTCCTCACCTCGATGAGGACCACGTTGGCTTGCAGATAGCGTAGAGCGCCACTCGCCCCATATCCCAGCAGTGCCAACACTAAACACGTGGAAATCCACTTTGGCGCCTTGAGCTGCGCCGAGCTGGACGGCACAGGCCCAATCAGACTGCGGTCAAGGAGGAAAGCAGGCGATCAGGACATTTCGTTCGCAGTTCAACAACCGCAGTGGGCTTACCGTTCTGTCAGTTGAGTACACGAGGCAAAGCTCCTGCATGAGAAGCGGCCATGAGTGAGCGTTGGGCACCACGAGCAACGCACAGCTGTATCGAAGATACTCACGTCTGCCTCCATGTCTTCGCTCTGTCCGTATTGGTAGCTTATCCATCGACGGTGCTGTTTGACATATGCTAAAGACCGGCGCGGCAAGCAGTATCAATTGCACAAGTCTCTCGCTTTGGGAAGCATGGGGCACACACGTACCTTTCAAGGTGCCGAGGTGCTCTAATTCGTTTCGAACGGTAGGATCGCGCGACACGAGCAGCGCACCGTCTCCGCCAGACTGTGTGGGTCGTGGTGAAGGGTCAATCACTGTCGTGTGGAGGCCGTATTGGCCCAGAACGACTGACCGTTTCGAAGCTTAGAGTCCCCCCAGCGGTGCCCGTCACCTCAGCGCCGACCCCAGCTCCTAGACTTCTAAAATTGGCGCTGGTTCTAGGCCCAATGTCGAAAGCCGATTCTTCCGCTTCGTCGACAAAGATGGGTAGAGGAGGCTGTGGCTCCTCCTCGCTTCTGAAAGCACCCATCAGAGAGGTGCGACGCGATCTCGGCGACGACGACGGCGAGGAGGGAACATTAAGCGGCGCGCTGGCTCGCCTTTCCCCAGAGAAGCTGTTGCGAGGGCCCATCGTAGCAAAAGCCGGGACTGCAGACCAAGCGGACTGCTCAGCACCTGGAGACCCCGGTGGACTCCTGGAGCCTGATTGGGTACGTCTTGCTAGGTCCGGACGTGCCGCGTCACTTCGCACCAAAGAGGGTCCATCGACTACATTGTAGAGTCTCTGCGTGTTGGGCGGATATGGATGTCAACAACATTTCAGTTGTGAGGCACAGCTTCACACTCACATGAAATCGTCCATCGCGCACATATCCAACGTCACCCAGGTCAACACGTCCCGGGTGCCAGAGTGGCAATCCCTCAGCAGCCACGTACAAGCAGGTGCAGTAGGTGTCGCTGATGTGCGCGGGCATCGTAAGTGACGGCAAGTCGCAGAGCCGCGTACTGTACCAAGGGATGCGTGGCCCGTAATATAGGGTTTGGTAGGCGTTATTCCGCTTCGACAAGAGATGAGGTAGGAGGCCTGAGATCATGGTATAGATGACAGAGGGAAACCGATGTCAGTGAGGATGACGAGTCGCAAACAAGCATGCGGCATCCAGACAGCTGCTCTGAGGTCTGTCACGGGTGCGCGCATCACTCAGCGACAGCATATACACCACCGCGACCCGTCCGTTCCCATCCTGGAAAAGCATGAACACAGGTCCACCAAGGCCCGCAAACGTGAGCGCGACATTTGCCTAGGGAAAGCCAGCCTTTGGAGTTCAGTCTGGCAAGGGGCCAGAGAGGACCGCTGACGAGCATCAACAATAGAGCACCATCTCCCCGCTGAGCCAGCAAGGTTGCAACC